TCTTTCTTGCTTGAATCACCTTGTTCCCAGACAGACGTGCTGCCTTGTACAGTGCACCCACACAGAGATTCACTCCTGGTCATGCAGCTACTGCAGCTTTCTGGAATCCTTCGGCAGCCCATGTGTATGTGCTGAGAGAAAAGCATCACCATTTGTAATTGCTGATTCCAGGCTCAGTACCTTACTTATTTGTTAGACATACTGGTCTTTGCACTGAGTTTCTAGAGGGTCTAATCAATGGCAGCCTTATCCACATGTACTTTTGTGCTGTCAAGATGTTCCTCCCCTCAGATCCCTTTGCTCTCCCAGCCTGTGTGTGCTATCTTTCTGATAATGGTTTTGTCCAATGCCTGTGACATTTTTCCATCTGGGACAAAATGGCAAATAGTGTCTCCCCTTTCCCCAACAAGATGCATAATTCTAAATGTCAAAATTATTTTGACTCATGAGACAGAAACACCCATATAGACCTCTTTCCAGCTATAGTGGGGAAAAATACAGTAACAAAGAATAAGGTATTAGTGCTATTTTTCTAACTATTCCATGAGTTCCAGATCCAGAATCTACTGCCTGAGGTGGTCACCTTGCTCCACCCAATGGTAAGGCCAGTTCTAAGTTAAACGATAAACCTTGTATTTGGAGTTACCACTCCAAATCCTTTTTCTGAACTTTATTCTATGCTGTCAGGCAGGGTTTAAGGTTCCCTACTACTGGCTGAAGTCAGTTGTTTTACCTCTGCAGCATCATGTATGCTTCTAGGACTGCATATCTAACCATATTTGCTTGGCCTTTTGTTTTCAGAGAGACTTTTGCTTATATCAGATCCACGTGGCCTTTTACCTCATTTCAGATTTGTGGCCAATAACCTGTGGATCAGTGGCGACTCTGTGCCTGCTGCAAGTTTCCATTGAGTATCTTGAGAAAGGAAGTAACATCTTCTGATTCTAAAGTAAATGTACCCACTTGGATATTATTTCTCTTTCCACTGAAATGTCTCAAAAGCCGTGTTCCGGTGCTTCTTGGTATGTAAGCAAATGTATGGGTGCAGGGCATACACTAATTCTGCTCTCTCAATTTGGTCACCACTCTGCATGTGTCGAGGGCTTTCTGCATGAATTCAAACATTCAAAATTTTCCAGAGTCCAATTCTCAAGGATAATCCCTCCTGGTACAACAGAAAAGACACAATGTTTTCTTTCTGGTTGTAATATAGCATATACAGTACTCTCTCTAACCAACTATGGGAGTATCTAGAACCAGAGCAATGGGAGTTATCATTGAGGAAAGAGGACTGCACTGAACTGATGACTGCATCTTCTTCCAGATACTGGATAATACTTTTAATTTGGCTGCAATTGACTGTGGCTCGCTTAATGTAAGAAATTGTTATCCTGTCTGACCAGGGGTTCCTCATGCTTCTGTGTTCCTCTATCTCCAGCCAAGCAGAAGTCATCTGATTCAATACAAGGCATTAGTGGAGTCCTGACTGACAGTCCTCTATCAAGCGTGAGAATAATGGAATTATCAGCAATTAAACTTGAACTCTGCTGCCCCAAACTGATTCTACAAAGTTGCAGAATTTGAAATTTGCTTTGAACATAAAAGTCTGGCCTCAGAAGCTGGCCGTGGTAATCTGGGAACTTTTCTGTTTCTTCTGCAACTCCCTGGCTGAATAATGGCCAGACTGTCAAAGAGTACTGCAGGACTCAAGAGTTTACCTCTGATTTTTTAATTTTTTTTATTTATTTTTTTGAGGATAGTCTGTGTGGTGTAGTCAGAGTTTACCTCTGATTTTTTTTGAGGATAGTCTGTGTGGTGTAGTAGATAAATGGACTAGGACTCTGGAGAACTGCGTTTGATTCCCCTGCTCTGCTATGGAAACTCACCGGCATATGGAACTGGTAAAACCACTACTTAAATACCTCATTTACCTTGAAAACCTTATTAGGATCACTATGAGACAGTTATGGCTCAATGGTACATAACGATGAAGGTGATGCCCACCCTTGTTCCCACTGGAACAGGACAATACAGACTCGTTGCTCTCTTGTATATAGAAGAGTGATGGAAGTGATGCTTAAGGGGGCATTCACCCTCTTCACAGATTTGCTCAGCATAGTAAGGAATGCCTTGAACAAGGCTTTTATCTATCCATTCTCACTTTTATTTGTCCATGTGTTGCCCATTGAGGCCTGAAGGAATCCATCTTGCACATAGGCTTGCTAACCTCTGCCTCACCACTTGCCCAGCACTGTCCCTGTCCTTTCTTTGATAAATTGACTTCTTCATCTCTGTCACTGTTGGGAAAAGCTAGTCTACTAGCATAATCTGCTGATGCAGCCTTCCTCAAGCTGGTGTCCTCCAGATATGTCATGCCACAAAGGCAATGGTGGCTGTTGATGATGGGGTTGCAGTCCAATATTTTTGGAGGGGATCCCATTTGAGAAGGTTGTCTAAAATTGCTGTAGATATCACTTCTGGTTTCACTTTCCATTCAAAGAATTTCAACAATTCTTTGGCTGAGTCAGCAGCCCAGTTAAACAGAGGCGGACACCTGCATCACCTCCCTCTAAAATATTTTGCTCTGTAGCAGTGCAGTGGCCCTCTCTACTGATTCTACACAATTTTATAGTACTGTACTTCCAGCAATCAGTATCTGGTGGTGGCTTTTTTGACTGTACATGTCTTCCTTCAGTAATTCCTTGGGGCTGTATTGAACAATCTGGCTGATTTGGTAGATGATATTTCAGTGACAGGTTCAATGTGGCGGGAAGCTTTTTCTCCCATAGCACACTTGGTAGACGATATTTCAGTGACAGGTTCAATGTGGCAGGAAGCTTTTTCTCCCATAGCACTTCCAATTATGGAAAGCCCCCCCCCCCAACCAAGCTTAACTGGTGCTGCCATTGGCATCACTATAGTGCCAAGTCAAAACATACTTATCAAAGCCTTTGAGGATTATTTTATTATTTTTGACTTTAAAGAAATTCAGCTAAAATTTCTGGTGTCAAGAATAAAGAAGGTTGTAACTGAGAATTACAGATGAGCAAGGATTCTGTTTTATTTGATAAAGAAATATACAACCATAAATGGGAAATGAAGGATTTAAGCTTCAGGAAGAAAACAAAACCACCTCCTCTTCACTACTGTTGAACAGTCCAGAAGCATTAGAATAATTTACCCACATGTTCCAATTTTCCCTCCTCAATTTGTCCTGCATTAGGCCATAATCTAGAGTAAAAAGATGATCAATGGTTGGTAGGATGTATCATTGGTAATAACAATTGTGACTTGTATGTGTATACTGTTGCAAAACCCAGTCTGTTCCAGATCAACAATTGTGACTTGTATGTGCATACTGTTGCAAAACCCAGTCTGTTCCAGAGCAATTCTGATGAACATTGCTAATCTTTTTATATATATAATATAAAAACTGAACATTTTATTATTTGTATATTGTATACTATTGTTTTGTGTTTATAGAACAGAACTGCAATGTATATTTTTGTGAAGTGGTATACTATTGAATGAATGAATGAGTGAATAAATAAATGTGCAAAGGCCAGGTCTGAAACCCCCCCCCCCAGTTCCAAAGCCCATTTACCTGTGTAAAGGCCAGGTCTGACCCCTCCCCCAGTTCCAAAGCCCATTTACCTGTGTTGCAAGATGTATTATCCATACCTGAACTGAAGTGAGGCCTGGAATCCATTAGTGGAATAACTCAAGTTTTCTAATTGAGAGCAAGTGAAGTACTGTATGTGTAAGGGCCAGTACTACAAACTGTGGCAAGTTGTTCAAATGGGCTCTGTCCTATCCCAGCTATAGTGGTCTGCCTCTTCCAGCACAGCTGTGCATGCAAACATGCAAGATGCAATAGAAGAAAAGCTGCTATGTCTAAAGCCATGTAAAACCCGAAGGCATTAAAATTTATTAAATGATGCAATAACAGAATTCTTTATTTACAATAGCATTATTTAACATCAAATAAGCAAATAGCATCAGCAAAGCAATATTAACTTGCATAAATGTATTTAAAATTTCTCTGAATATATCTACCTTTGCATAAACTGCTCACACTAGAAATACAAACATCAATGCAGGTGAACAAAGTGATGTTCATAGTCAACTCAGTCTTGAAAATAAATCACAACCTGAAAACACTGTAAGCTTTCTCCTGAAGAACCATAGTTTATATATTGCTTAGTTTTACCCTCGTATAATCTTTTCATATACACACACTCATACACATCTCAGATGTAACTTTATGAGGAACTGTACAAATAAAATCCACAAATGACAAAAAGGAAAACAAAATAAATGAGTCAATGTTCGAAGAAATGTGTCCATCATCTCTATTCAACGACTGAAAGCTAAGTGATGATGCGCTTATTCCAAAATTGTACACAATTCACTATACAAATATATTACATCAGACAGCTATGTAGGAATATACAAGACTTAAAAACAGATCTAAGGCATTATGCTAGATTTTAGCATTTTGAGGTTCTTGCACATAGCTTTACCTGTAGTAAGAAACCGAAAAGATTTGTTTTAGTCTACAAAGAAACACCAGGGAGAAAATTCTAATTAAAAACCAAAGCCACTACAGTAATTTTCTTGTGCAGAGAATGCTTTTGCTCTTAGGCAGCAATACTACCATACAAATACTAGAAAACTTTAAATTCACACCAACAATTAATGGCTTAAATTGCATTTCAAAACTGATTGTGTATCTTTGGGTTTTGCAAGTAGAGCTGAACCATTCTTTTCACGTGTTATGCCCATGTGAACTCCATTTTTAAAACACAGGTTAAAATGCAGTATATAAATGACAAAACATTGCTATCAGATAATACAGATCACTTCAAATTTAGGTGGGGAGGACGTTATTTCAAATCTTTGAACAACTAGCTGAATGTTGAAAAGAATTATTTTATTATTTTAACCTTATCTAAACTTGACTGAATGCTGTTTATTTATTTTTATTTATTTATTTATCCTAAACTTGACTGAATGCTGTTTATTTTTATTTATTTATTTGATTTATACCCCAGTTTAGTCCAACTGTTATATATGTGAATTCAGTTACATCTTCCACCCCTAGTATGAGACACTATGTTTGACATACAACATCGTTCTGTCTCTAGGAACTTTACTATATACTGGATAAAAAATACTGCTTATAAAAAAGAAATTGATTTGGCATCATCCTTTGCCTCTAGTATGATCACCATTCTCAGAGAATACCTAAACCCACACAGTCTTTAGCCAATCCATTTAGACAGTAAAATTTTTGAGACCTTAGGTATGATTACTCTATTTTAAGGAATCAATAAATGACACATTTGCTTCAAACTGGGTCTTCTTTAAACTATGAATTTATAGATTTATCTGTGACGTATTCATTGACGTATTAATTGATATTTTTCAAAGTTTAATCTGGTAAGAGAATTTTTTCAAAATTTAGGTTAATGTTTACATAATTAGATTTTTTTTAAAAATTAATATAACGGAGCTCAGGGCTGACATCTACTTTTGCTTTCTACCAGACGGCTCAGTTATCTGAACAGCGACTTTTGTGTTTAACCTACAAAAGTGGTGACTGCTGAGAAGTGCAGTTTCTCCTAATATAAATGGAGACCCACTCAACAGGAAACAAATGGTTTGAAATGCATTCTATACACTCCTTAACATATTCTTTCCAGCACTCTATGAAAATCAGATTCTTTGTATATTTCAACCCTCATCACAAGCAGAAAATGTTTTCAAGGGAATAGACATTCCACTCCCACAGACATGAGTAATGACTGAGATAATATAAAATGCATTGCATTTTAAATAACATCCAAAATTTGAGTTCAGGTACGAAAGTGTGTGGCTTGTGGAGAAGAGAGAAACAGGAGGTTGAAAACAATCAGTTTCCTGATATATATCAAGTCCTCAGAAACTGATGCCAGTTTATACTAAAATATTACTCAAACCACAGCAGGAAAGAGTAAAACCACCTTAATCAGTGGCCTGCTGAACAACAGTTTCTCTAAGATTATTAAGAAAGAATATAAACATACAAAAAAGTCAAGAATTGGCTCCTACAGTGGCTGCATATAATATAAGGTTAGATAAATGACTTATGAGCAGAATTGAAAGATTTAGAAAACGAAGAGTCTCAAAGCCTACAAATTAGGTCTAATCAAGGCATTGTGATCCTTTACAAAACATTTTTCCCAGGAGACACACACAGCTATGAAGATATCTAATTTAATACTGAAGTACCTCATTTGGAAATCAACTCCACAACATGTATACCTCACAAAATTATACAATTAAAACACTAAAGTATTCAACTTAAATTATTGCTTGTTTACATAGAAACTGTTTTCATGTACCTTACAAAACTTTCTTGTAGTCCACACTGCTTCAAAATAATTATAACACATGATGCTTAACTCTGTAGTGATATCTACCACAGCTCAAGTCATTGTTTTCCCCATTTGTGGAGATGGGAACCATGGAATTTTTTTCATATAAATCAGATGCCTTTAGGTCTGATATTGTGTTTCAATTCTGCCACTTCCATCACCAATAGATGCACCTTATTTAGAGGCTGAATATTCATGATTCAGCAACTAGTTACCTGCAACCTATTGCTCAGGTAACTGATCTAGGGATCTGATTGGGATTACTCATTTCTCCACCCTATAAAAAAAGAATCAGAAAAAGGGCAAATGAAAGCAGGGGGAGCTAATTTTAGATAACTCTTCGGGATGCTGACTTCAATTAAAATGGGAACTAAAACTGTATAGGACTCATGATTTTATTCAAAACAACAACAAAAACCTTTATGAATAGCCCTCTCATAGGGTAGTGTAGCTTGAATACTAACATGAACCTATGAAAAATTGACCAGTTTTGTTTTCTAGCATGGTATGTCTAGCTACTACATATTTTTCCCCATACCAATTAGTTAAATGTCCATTCTCTTTTTTGTTATCCACTATTCTGGCAGTCATCATCCAGTCTACTCTGTATCTCCCAAAGTGAACACTGTAATTTAAAACCACTGATTTCTAGATGGAGCTTAATCCTTTGCACCAGACTGTGTAGCTAAGGAAAACAAAGAAAGATATCAAGATCTAAAACTAAAAACAAAACAGAATGAGAGCATGGTTGGTTTTCCTTAAATACATACATTTAAATACATTCAATCTGACATGGTTTATGAAAACTGGCTATCAACATTTACTTTGCAGGAGAGATCTAAGTTGCACTAAGGTGAATGCAGTGAACAGACTGAGTAACCGTCTGTACGCTAGCTTCAGACTGTCAAAGAAGAGGCTGCTCGTCCACCGACAACGGTTTTGATTCCACTCAGAGTGGTGTTCTGCTTGCAGCACTAAATTCTACTTTCTCCAGTAGAGCTGACTAGCAGAACAGTTGGGGCAAAACCAAACATATGCAGCTCCTCAAACCAGTAAGTAATACAGGCTGGGAAGTCCAGTCAGTTGAAGATATCAGCAAACTTCAAGGTCAGCAATATTTCTGTAAGACCAAAAAGAAAAACAAAACAAACAAAACAAACATAAAAGGGCATTAATAGCAATACCTGAACATGTATTATTTTTAAAAAAATAAAAATCTTCTAAGCAATTCCAATCACCACAACTACAAAATCCCACAAAATGTCAGGTACAGTGAAATAATAATGATTAAAACAAACTTGGAACACATATTGTGATGTATCTTGCAAGAATAACCTATCCTATAGACTCTAAAGCACACACAAGTAGATCTCACATGCTCCTAGGCACTTCTGCCCTTATAGTATTTGTTGAACTTGCATTAAATACATAATTCAGAACATATTCATCTGCTAATTCTGCCACTCTGATGGCAGAAAGTGAGGAGGAATTAAAGAACCTCTTAATGAGGGTGAAAGAGGAGAGCGCAAAAAAACAGTCTGAAGCTCAACATAAAAAAAAAACCCCTAAGATCATGGCCACTGGTCCCATCATCTCCTGGCAAATAGAAGGGGAAGATATGGAGGTAGTGACAAATTTTACTTTCTTGGGCTCCATGATAACTGCAGATGGTGACAGCAGCCACGAAATTAAAAAACCACTTGCTTCTTGGGAGGAAAGCGATGACAAATCTAGACAGCATCTTAAATAACAGAGACATCACCTTGCTGACAAAGGTCTAGATAGTCAAAGCTATGGTTTTTCCAGTAGCAATGTATGGAAGTGAGAACTGGGTCATAAAGAGGGCTGACCACTGAAGAATTGATGCTTTTGAATTGTGGTGCTGGAGGAGACTCTTGAGAGTCTCCTTGATTGCAAGCAGATCAAACCTATCCGTTCTGAAGGAAATCAACCCCAAGTGCACACTCGAAGGACAGATCCTGAAGCTGAGGCTCCAATACTTTGGCCATCTCATGAGAAGAGAAGACTCTCTGGAAAAGACCCTGATGTTAGGAAAGTGTGAAGGCAAGAGGAGAATGGGACGACAGAAGATGAGATGGTTGGACAGTATCATTGAAGCTACCAACATGAATTTGACACAACTCCGTGAGGCAGTGGAAGATAGGAGGGCCTGGCGTGCTCTGGTCCATGTGGTCACAAAGAGTCGGACACGACTTAACGACTAAATAACAAGAGTTGGGGAGGGAAAGATAGACAGAGATTCCTTCCAGGACGGTTCTAATGACACATTTCCCTGGAAAGATTTTTAGGAGATCCTTTGGGAAGACATATTGTTGTCATCAGAGAGAACTGTATCCATTCCTATCTCCTAAAATGCTCACACTTAGGATGTTTACAGTTTCTTACCCGTGATGCATCTCCCTCCTGCTTGATCATATCCATTCCAGGTAGCTGGTTTGGAAAAAGATTGCCTCCTCTCATGGCAGGATCATTAACCTACAACAAAGAGAATACAAATGTGTAAGTTAGTCATGAAAATAGAAGATAATAAATCGCATTAGAACGTGAAAATATTTGAATATCTTGTAATGAAAGTGGGAAAACAATACAGTTTTCTGAATAGAAAGGCACATTTTACACATGCTTAAACCTTCTTTTCACACAATGTTCTGCCTGTGCACATTTGAATAACTCACCTATTATTGAATTTATCCCTTTTGAAAGGTGGCGTTCCCCAGAGAAAATGTTAAAATTCTAACTCCAGCTGACATAAAATGTTGCAGCATGTGGACATTAAAGCATTAAAACAAACCCCTTGAAGACTGAGCTAAATTAGTCTTTATTTCTTAGTGGTTGACTGCGTATACACAGACAGAGATAGGCAGATAGACACACAGTCTCTAGAAGTTCGCTTGAAGGTATAAAACTGTATTTTTTAGTCCCAAACTAAGTTTGTTTTTTAAAAAATCTAGCACCTGTATGGGTACAGCTAAGCTATATAACCTTTTCTTGTCAAAACCTGGACATGTCTGGCACTATATCCTGCTTACCATGCTACTAGATGGTAGTATGGCTCACCTGTCCATAGAGCTGGTGTTTCAACAATGCCAATGTGTTAGGGAAATTAGATGGAAACTTTATGTGTATGAAAGGAACAAGGCCCCTCTATCTTAACTGGAAGCCTTATTTATCACTTCAGAACAACCCATTAATATTCATACTGCGTTAGCAAACAGTTTTGCCAACATTAAAAGCATCTCCCCCCCCCCAAGTGCTTCAAATAGAGAGTTCTTACCTGCTCAGGACCCATGGAGGACAACCCTGATGTAGGCACAGAGGCTGCTGAGGTCATGCTGATCTGCCCTGTCATCTGGTTCATGTTGTTCATGCCGCTTGTGTTGGTCACCATGGATACATTGATGTTCATGTTGTTATTGTACATGCTGGTGTTTGCTTGCTGGCCAAAGTGTGGTGGAGACTGTTGTGAAAACATGCTGCAGGATGAAGTACACATCAGCATGTCAGAATCAAAAGGTCCAACTTATAAGCCACTCAAGGCTTCAAATATTCCTGAACACTTCCAATGATCAACAGATAGATCTGTCAGTGCATATGCCAACTACTTTCAATAACTGGAGCCTGATAGGAATGGATAAAGTACACACCTTGTACTCAGCTTTCATAATTAATAGAAATTTTCAGATTTCCTCCTCCTCCCAAATCTGTCAAAATTAGGTATTTGTTCCATAGATCTAGCATGTAAAAATGTATTTTACAGAACTTCCTTAGAGACAAATTGCTGCTTTTCTTGGGTGTCTTTCCATTATAAAGTGAAACAACTGTCAAATTCACATATCCATTTGAGTGAATCACTGAAATGTTACAGAATTGTGTGTATATACAACTGTTAACAGGAAAAGAATTCTGAAAAAATGATTCTGAAAATGAACTAGCCTAGGGGAATTTCTCTGTCTATTGAATAAAAACTAAAGAAAACTCCCCTTGGACAACAGAAGGATTTACATGTAAATTAAAGTTATTTCAAAATGTAGGCAGCAATCCCATACAAAGTTACATAGGAAAAAGTGAGAGAGTCCTACAGAGTTTAACTGAGTACTTAAGTACATATTCACAGGATTGCACTGTGGTCATAGGGATTTTATTGATTTGACATACAGCTTATAGATATGCATTGCATACTGTTTATTACTGTTGTTTACAAGGATTTGTTACCTGTCAGTAAAGGAGGACTACAGCCAATAAAATTCATCCCAAACATAAAAATCTCCATAATGATTTTTTTGCTCTTTGTAAAAGAATTCTCTATGAACTAATAGTTATGATCACAGACAATGAAATCATGTTGCTTTATATACTAAGTTGAAGATATAGCAGGTCCTCTTTGGTGAACTGACTATTCTGTAACCTCCATTGATTCAGTCGGCTTAAGCTAGTTGTGACTTAACATAGGCTAAGCATCAGGATTTCAGCCAGAATTCCTTGTCATGAAAAATTAACAGTTTCTTCTGACTCACTGCAGTCACATGTATTTCTCATCTAGTGAAGATGAGTTATACAGATTTTTAAAAAATGTATGTAAATCCACTATACCAAAGAAAATGTACTGTACATTTCAATGAAAGAAAAAATGTGATTCATATGAAATTCTTTTTAACTTAGAAGGCAAACATGTTTTACATCTAGAGATCCTTTTCTCCTTGCTACCTTTTCCTCTCCAAATTATGATTTCAACAATGATTTTGGCATCATGCTACAGAATTGTTGTGTTATGTAGATGGTTACATTCAAATGTTACATCTGTTCCTTAATAGTGAGAGGAAAAGTTCAATCACAGCATGATTGCTGAATGAGGTTATAAGTGAACTTTGCCACTTTCAAAACAACATGCTGCAGGTCACAGTCAGGCTGCAATGCATTTTCAATCTTGATAACTTACCTGTTTCCACCCATATTCCCTTGTGCCCATCCATTCAACTCTGTAGAGGACTGGTAGGCAGGATTGGCCTGAGACTGTTGTATCATTGGACTTTGAGTGTGAGCCATTCTTGGTGACATCAGGGGACTCTGTGGAGTTGTAGCTCCAGTAAAGCCTGGATCTGGCTGCTGATTTATTCCTAGAGAATGGAACAGGTACTGAAGTCATTCTCTGCATGGCAACTTAGACAACACAGACGAAGAGACTTAAATGAATACTGTTTATTCAGTTGAGCAGAAGAAGGCTTCCCGCGACCTCCTACAGCAATTATGCGATTACCAAAGATTCCTCCCAGAACAAAATTAAACAGAAAAGATTTTTTTAAAAAATACAATGCACTTTGCTGCCAAATTTGGCAGCAGTTTTCACCACTCCATAGTGACTTTCCCCATCTGTCTTCATCATAATTTTAATAAATAAGAAACTACCTGTCAACAAGTAAGCTATTTTTCCTTAGTTGTGCTGTAACTGCTGTAAACCTGTTTACTGACATTAGACATATTTAATTTCCTGATGCTTCCTTTTTTTTATTCAATCACGTCTACTCTAAACTGGCAATGGCCTTATGGCCTCCTAATCTCAATGGTAGGAGAGCTGTTTGTGCAAGAGAGAATCACTAGGCTGTAACTATTTGGCCACTGTTGCAGCTCTGTCACTTCCTTTTCTTAGGCAAGGTGTGGGGACAATGGTAGGATCTGGGAATACACTTCCAAATAAATTGCTAAATTAAAATTAGTTATGATTGGGGAAAGTATTTTATTTCAGAAAATATTTAACATGGATTATTTCCCAAATTAACCAATGGTATATAAAACAGCAAGTGTACAAAACACACACACACAGAGTGCATAAATAAAATATCAAAATATACAAATCTACTTCCTTGGTCATGATCCTTTCCTTAAGCTTAACCCGTTTTGGGAATGCAGCTCTTGGGTTCTGCTGGGCACTCTGAAAATTGGCCCTCAACTCCCTAGATGTTGCGCACCCCTGCAACTGAGTATTAAAACCTTACAAGATAAACCAAAACAAGGCTAGCTTCAGTTTTTCAGTACTGCCTCTTCCAAACTCACATACTATAAACTTCTGGAACTTCCTACTCTTCCTTTTTTGATAAATGCTTCTTACTGATGTTTGTTGGAGGCATCTATAGGACTCTATTTGGAAAGGTTACTACCAAATTTTTTTCCTATCTTTTGAGAAGGGAGGGTCAAGCAAACAACATACACAAACTATGGGTAGGACCCAAAACCTAAGTAGTATCTGAATAGTTCCACTGTTCAAAGTTGTTAAAGTGACACATTTTGTAATTATTACTTTAGCAATCTGAACGATGAAATAAAGATCTTTTTACTTTTCGCTAATCCATGCAGAAACATAGGTAAATTTTAAAAATAACAATTTTGTTCATTATGCACCCAAGCATGGCTATTCTCTAACAAAAATATGTTTAGAGACCAGGTTCATCAAATGCACTGGGGGCGGGGGGGAAGCATGCTGAAGAATTCAAGATAACCGTTTTTGTTAAGATTGTGATGAAATGGGGTGAAGAGCCTCATTTCACAAACTTACTTCACTTTGAATTTGAGTTGGGACTCTTTGCAATTATTCCATAATTTTTGCAATTATTCCAATATTTGAAAAATATTAATCCCCGACAAGAATAACTCTCCCTGTTATTTCCATCTAAATATCTTATGTGGAAACCATGCAGAATGTTATCTCACAGAAGTGCAGAATTTTACAGTAGAAGCTGACAGAAGACTCTGAAATAATCCCAATACCGTAGTTTGGAGGAAATGGAAACTGTTGGGTGTTTGCCTGGGGAATCCGTGGATTGCTCATTGTTGCTGGTATGCCACCAGAGGCCACCATACTTGGTGTCATATTCATACTCTGTCCACGCATCATCAGAGTTCGCTGTTGTACTTGCTGCTGCATCTGTCTATGCCTCAGGTGCTGGCTCAGTATCTCCCGCTGCCTCTGAGCTAACATCTGGGAATTGATAGGTCCCTGCAGGGAAACCAAAATTATCAACACATAAAACTGACAAGGCATTTTCAGGAGCCTGAAAAAGAAATGTGTAACTTGCCAATCAGGGAGAGACCTTTATTTCTGCAAGTGAACACAGGAAGCTATCTTACATTAGATCAGATTGCTTGAACACATAACCCACTATTGTCTATTCTGACAGGTGGCAACCACTGACTGTACCTGACACTTTCAGGATGGAAGCCAATTGCTGTACCACTCAACTATGGACCCTTTGCTTGTTGTTGCTTAGTCATTAAGTCATATCTGACTCTTCGTGACCCCATGGACCAGAGCACGCCAGGCCCTCCTATCTTCCCCTGCCTCCCGAAGTTTGATCAAATTCATGTTGGTAGCTTCGATGACACTGTCCAAACCATCTCATCCTCTGTCGTTCCCTTCTCCTCCCGCCTTCACATTTTCCCAACATCAGGGTCTTCTCCAGGGAGTCTTCTCTTCTCATGAGATGGCCAAAGTATTGGAGCCTCAGCTTCAGGATCTGCCCTTCGAGTGAGCACTCGGGGTTGATTTCTTTCAGAACGGATAGGTTTGATCTCTTTGCAGTCCAGGAGAGTCTCCTCCAGCACCACAATTCAAAAGCATCAATTATTCGGCAGTCAGCCTTCTTTATGGTCCAGCTCTCACTTCCATACATCGCTACTGGAAAAACCATACCTTTGACTATGCGGACCTTTGTCGGCCAGGTGATGTCTCTGCTTTTTAAGATGCTGTCTAGGTTTGTCATTGCTTTCCTCCCAAGAAGCAGGTGTCTTTTAATTTCATGGCTGCTGTCACCATCTGCAGTGATCATGGAGCCCAAGAAAGTAAAATCTGTCACTGCCTCCATATCTTCCCCTTCTATTTGCCAGGAGGTGATGGGACCAGTGGCCATGATCTTAGTTTTTTTGATGTTGAGCTTCAGACCATTTTTGCGCTATGCTCTTTCCCCCTCATTGAGATGTTCTTTAATTCCTCCTCACTTTCTGCCATCAGAGTGGTATAATCTGCATATCTTAGCTTGTTGATATTTCTTCTGGCAATCTTAATTCCGGTTTGGGATTCTTCTAGTCCAGCCTTTCGCATGATGTATTTTGCATTAGTTAAATAAGCAGGGAGACAATATACAGCCTTGTTGTACTCCTATCCCAGTTTTGAACCAATCAGTTGTTCCATATCCAGTTCTAACTGTTGCTTCCTGTCCCACATATAGATTTCCCAGGAGATAGATAACGTGGTCAGGCACTCCCATTTCTTCAAGAACTTGCCATAATTTGTTGTGGTCCACACAGTCAAAGGCTTTTGCGTAGTAAATGAAGCAGAAGTAGATGTTTTTCTGGAATTCTCTGGCTTTCTCCATAATCTTGCGCATGTTAGCCCCTTCGAAAGCCAGTTTGTACTTGGTCTACTAACTACTAAATCAGATGCATTTGTTAGTCATTTAGGTGTCTAAATGACTAACATTCTTTTGTTGTTAACATGTTGAAACATCTATCCTCCTAGATATAGTTGAAAAATTTTAAAAAGCACATGCCTTCGGCGACCAGGAGAGGAAAAGCAACCTATATATATGAAGACCATTGTTGCATTGTACTTGAATTATTTGTATTTAACTTTACTTTGGAGGGATGTTTACATGTCCCTATAAAGACAATGTGGCTTTCTCCATAATAAAGCGCATGTTAGCAATTTGGTCTCTAGTTCCTCTGCCTCTTTGAAATCCAGCTTGTCCTGGAAGTTCTTAGTGCACATACTGGTGAAGCCTGCCTTTTGCGCATAACCTTGCCAGCGTGTAAAATGAGTGCAACTGTATGGTAGTTGGAGCATTCTTTGGCATTGCCTTTCTTTGGGATTGGGATGTAGACTGATCTTTTCCAATCCTCTGGCCACTGCTGAGTTTTCCAAACTTTGTGGCATATTGAGTGTAGCACCTTAACAGTGTCATCTTTTAAGATTTTAAATAGTTCCACTGGAATGCCACCACCTCCACTGGCCTTGTTGTTAGCCATTCTCCCTAAGGCCCACTTGACTTCACTCTCCAGGATGTCTGGCTCAAGGTCAGCAACTACATTGTCTGGGTTGTCTGGAATATCAAAATCTTTCTGATATAATTCCTTTGTGTATTCTTGCCACCTCTTCCTGATGTCTTCTGCTTCTGTTAGGTCCCTCCTATTTTTGTCCTTTATCATGTCCATCTTTGCACAAAATGTTCCTCTAATATCTCCAATTTTCCTGAACAGATCTCTGGTTTGTCCTTTTCTGTTATTTTCCTCTATTTCTTTGCATTGTTCATTTAAGAAGGCCCTCTTGTCTCTCCTTGCTATTCTTTGGAAGACTGCACTCCATTTTCTGTAACTTTCCCTATATCCCTTGAATTTTGTTTCCCTTCTCTGCTATTTGTAAGACCTCGTTGGACAACCACTTTGCTTTCTTGCATTTCCTTTTCTTTGGGGTTTGTTTGTTTGTTTGTTTGTTTGTTTGTTTGTTTATTGTCATTGTAAGTATATACACAGTATACCCATACAACGAAATTCACAGACACCCAGAGACCAAACACATGCACACACATAAAATTCCCCAAACACTCCCCACCCACTAAAAGTCCCCCACTAAAAATACAAACATCTACACTGCAGGCCAAGTAACACAGTCCAACTAATTATTCACTACTGGTGGTCTTTAAGCTCATTATTAATTGCAATCTTCTGCCAAATGGTAACAGTTCAAAAAAGTTATAAGCAGGATGGGAAGAGTCTCTCAGGATGCTATGTGATTTCCTTAGACAGCGGGATGTGAAGATGTCATCCATACCTGAGTAGCCCAGTGGTTTTTCCTACTCTCTTCAGTTTAAGCTTGAGTTTTGCTATAAGAAGCTGATGATCAGAGCCACAATCAGCTCCAGATCTTGTTTTTGCTGACTGTATGAACCCTTACTCTGAATTAAAAATTGGAAAAGACATCCAGGAAAACCCGACAGGTGAAAACGCACAGGCAATATATATGGATGACTACAGCAAAGGCCATTCTCCTAATTTATGCCTAAAATACATTTTGTATTTCTTGCATTCATAAATCCTACTTATAATACTTCGAATAACCAAAGGAAAAATTTTAGAATTCCAATCTTTCAGATTAGTTCTCAATAAATATATGATTTGTACTTTGTATAAAAATGCAAATTAAATGAATCCAAAAATTCTGCATTAAACTTCATTGCTTGTGAATTTTTAACACGTAACACAATCTTGCTATATTTTTTTATTTACCCTGAAAAATTTATATCAATACCTTTCACTGTATTTCTTCAGACTGTTTCCATGTAGCCTGCTCAGGAGATATAAAAACACTCTCTTGCATGCTCTCAAAAATAAATAACTATATAAATACATGGAAACAGGGCCTCATACAATGATGTACATGTGGTACAATATGAAAATATCCTCTTATTTCTTTCTGCAGTTACCTGTAATATTCTTGAAGAGATATGGAAAAAGGAGAAGAATAAAGCAAAACTTTAAAAAAGTACTGTACAGTGGTGCCTCGCAAGACGAGCGCTCCGTTTTACGACGAAATCACATTACGACAAAGTTATTGCGATCGCAAAAGCGATCAGAAAACGATGTTTCCTATGGGGGAATTTCACTTTGCGATGATCGGTTCCCTGCTTCGGGTACCGATTCTCGCAAAACGACGATTTTCCTACAGTTGACTGGTGGTTTTAAAATGGCCGGCAGGTAAAAAAAATGGCCACCCTCTGTTTTCTGGGACGGATTCCTCGCTGCACGGGCAGCGAAAATGGCCGCACTATGGAGGATCTTCACTGGACGGTGAGTTTCAAGTTTTAATCGGGTCTTAATGCATTTCTATGGACTTTTAATTTCGCTTTACGATGTTTTCGTTCTACAGCGATTTCGCTGAAACGAATTTACATCATAATGCGAGGCACCACTGTAGTAGTAGAAATCTGTACCATCTCGTATGTCATTTTTTTTAGTTTTCATTTTTATTTATTTATTTATTTGTTTACTCCATCCATCTAGTGGCTGATACTCTGGGTGACTTACAATATCACAACATAAAATTCAGTAATAATCAAGTTTAAAACAATAAACAAATAAACCCAAAATCTAGACTAACTATATATAAAATAATAGAAAAATCCTCAATACCTGTTCCCTCACCTGTGTAGGTACGCCAGGTCTCAGGGACAGATTCATATTAGAAACATTGCTAATCTGATTTATCAATGGCTGGCGATTCTAGGACAAGAAGGATAATAAAAATTAGGAAAAAGAAATGTAAAGGAACAATGATAGCAAAATTGCATATGTGCTCAAGTCTGAATAGTAAGTTGGTCATGTAATTCCAAGTAACATTATGGCATTATGTCTGGAGCAAACAATCCACAACTGCAGGTCTTTATAGCGACTATATGTTGAATCTAGACATAAGTTATATTTAAATTCAAATTTTGTCTGGCATAAGCCCTACTGATTTCAATTAGGAAACCACAGCCTTGAATTTACAAGAGCTGGGAAAGACTGTTGAGGACAGGACGTTTTGGAGTTTGCTTTCATAGGGTTGTCATAAGTTGAAGATTACTTTATGGCATGTAATAATAACAGCATTCTAAGTCTGACTAATTCTGGATTCAACTCTGTATCTGCTAGGATTTGTGGAAGTCCCATCTAATGTAGAATGCAAATTCCGAACAAACAGAACAATAATGATTTTTCATTGCAGCAAAAGGCACTGTGGTAGTTATGTTTGCCACTTGACTGATTGCTTTGTGGTTTTAAGGACAGGCTGCCTTAACTGTTTACTGCATACAAAAATTACGGGTATTTTAATCAATAAAAACATTACAATTGAGCATCATAGAACAATTATAGGAGTTAATTTCTACAACCTTTGACAACAGTTCCCAAAGGCAAACATGTAATGTATCCAAACAATTACTGCTGAAAAGTGACAATAACAAATAGATTTTGCCACAGCAAATTTGGGGTATTTGTCTATCATTGTTTTTTAGATTCACACATCAGACTCAATTTAGTATTTGGACAGAATGCAGAGATATAGGGACAGAAATACTGTTAGGTATGGGGGGGGGCAATGTGGAGAGAAGGTAATGTGTGATTTATACTGTAATATGATCAAAATGGATACTAGAGGCCCACACTGCTTTTTTGAACAAGAGTAACAGAATACTGGGGAAAAACAAAGCACTATCAGGAAAACAAAGTCAACCAGTACTGTCATACTTTTACTAATTTGATATGCAAAATCAAATATAAAAAGGTAAAAGTAAAGGTTCCCCTTGACATTTTTATTCCAGTCGTGTCCGACTCTAGGGGGCGGTGCTCATCCCATTTTCAAGCCGTAGAGCCAGCGCTTGTCCGAAGGCAGTTTCTGTTTTCACGTGGACAGCGTGATTAGGGAACGCCGTTTTACCTTCCCATTGAGGTGGTACCTATTTATCTACTCGCATTTGCATGCTTTCAAACTGCTAGGTTGGCGAGGAGCTGGGACAAAGCGACGGGAGGTCACTCTGTCGCATGGATTTGATCTTATGACTGCTGGTCTTCTGACCCTGCAGCACACAGGCTTCTGCGGTTTAGCCCCCAGCACCACCACGTCCCTCCAAGCTCAAGCTAGACTAACCAGCGCAACTTGGTTGTGAATCTTGGCAAGAGGGTTCCTTTGAACTTGTCAGGATGAACAGAAAAGCAGTATCTGGGACTGGGCAGAGAGAACCATATAGTAGCAAAATATACTGAGGTCTAATTCCACATACTGTGCCTTTCTGATGATTGTATCCTAATAGGGCAACCACAGAGATCATAACATTATGAAATACCTGTTGCGCTTGAAGTCTATGCTGCAATTGTAGCCTCAGCTGATTTGGTTGGTTTTGCACGATACCTGCAGGTCTCAGACTAGGTCTTGGTTGCATACGCAGTGCTGCATAACCTGGTCGCTGTGCCATTGGGTGGAAGTTTGGATCCTGCATCGGTGGGTAGTTGCCTTGTGCCATTTGGGCTTGAGATGCATACTGCTGTGTGAAAACAGGTGCCTTTTGCTCCAAGATGATGCTTGATTCCTGACTTGAGAATGGTTCTGGATCGACTGTTTGACTTTGCTGAAGAACACAAACATGAAAATGTACATGCACATGGAATGTTGAACATTTAGAGTACAATATGTGTGACTGTAACTATAGATTTAGTCAGGTATTACAACTGGGGTAAACTAACTGCACATACAGGAATGCTGTAGCCTCACCCACCTCTCCTTCCTACATGGTGACAAGTCTACAGATGAAAAGCTCTGTTATCTGTGGGGGTTCTCTATTTGAGCTGGGACCTCAGAAAATCAGGTTACTGACTTATATGGAGTGTGTTCACAGACACTGGAGCGCTCCTTCTTCAAACATATTGCCCTCCATATGTGGACATGGATGGGCAATTGGAGCTCTCTAAAGGAGGGCTTAGGGCAACACAGAGTTGTGCAGGGAAGAAGGGAATTATGGTGTGTTAGTGAATGTCCATGGGCACTTGTATCATCCTTGGCCCAAGCAGAAATAATCAGCTTTGGGGAAGGAAGGATTTAGACAGAATATACAAGAAAAATGTCTGAGAGGAAACAGTTAAACTCCTCATGCAATGCAGCTGTTCATGTATTTTTAAGTAAAACTCAAAACACTGGAAAATCTGATCAAACATCTCTTAAGTGAATTTTTGTCTTCCAGACTAGCAAGGATAGAAAATTCAGAAAGAATCATATTTTGTTGATGGACTAGACAGAATAATTTTGGGGGACAATATAGCTGCAACAAGCAACATTTGATTATTAGTGGTAGGGACTATGCAGGGCTGTGTTTCTTTCACAATCTAATTTAGATTCTAAGTTGCCCATTCCCCAGGATGGAGGTCTTGTCTGTCTACTGTGACAAAAACCTTTATTAGGAAATACTTCAAGTTGAGAAATACATAGAAGGAGAAATATTTCATAGCAAATACCTGGCTAACTAATTCTGGTATCCCAAGAGCTCTGTCAATTTCTTCAAGACCATCAAAATTTCGTAGTGCCATATAAAGCTGGTCGAGGAGGGCTCCTTCATCACTTGGAGACTCTGATGCAGGATGCTGACACAGAAGATCATCTGGTGAGCTCCCGAAAGGTTGCCTGCAAAGAAAGGCACATGGATTGACAAGTACTATCACTATTCAAAAAAATTCAGTTTTATTTAAGGAATGTACATACTTTAGATGTATCATTCTGCCAGGCAATAATCCTAATCAGAATTCCACTTTTCTACAGGTGTGTGTAAGGCATGCTAAAATTTAAAACACACTTTTTCTCTTATCATGATAAATGCCAACCTAGATTCACAAATCAAACTTCTTCCCCCACATCCCCAAGTTTTCTACCATCAGTGGCCTAAATCCAATTGCTAATATCAACTAAATTAACCCATTGAATAAATTGCTGAAGATTAAACCAACACTTTATGCAAATCCCATTGATCTAATTCATCTATTTTAGTTGCACAGAAAGCTAAATACAATTTCCATCAAACAATAAATTTTACAAATTTCCCTTTCCAACTTCTAACACACAATGTTCCTACTTGATATACTTTATAAATATGGGAAATGAGAATACTGAATTACTTGGCTAATTTATAATGTAAATTCTTTTTATATTTTCTTCTTATGATAATGATTTTTTTCTGAGAGTTCAGTTTCTTAACAGATTACATGACTACGGATAATCTTGGATCAGATAATTTAAATCACACAACACTGAAGCTGATGGTTTGTTTCCTTGCTCTGTGATGCAAGTACATCACTGCCTGTTCCTGATAATAACTATGACAGGGGAAGTGCATTCATCATCAAAGGCTGAAGAAATTAAACCACTGCTGTGAAAAAACACTGGCAAATAATAAAAGCCAAATTGTTACTGTTATAGCAATCACATATACACAATAGTTATTTCGCTTTTAGAGCTGTTAAATGAGGAACTTGTAATAAACAGATGATAAGGTGTATGATAAAGTATCACCAAGAACTAAATGTGTCACACATATAAAACAAAATCTGGATATCATAATATGCTAAATTTGCTAAAATCAAGCACTAATAATCACAGTGAGTTACAGTGAACAGTCTGTCTGCCAGGTTTACAGACAACATTCATAAATAGATTCTGTCTCCTACTTAAATCCTCCAAATCCCCCAAATCTGCCATTTGAGACAGAAGCAATAGTCTCTTCTCAGCTGCTGCCTTTCTCTGGAAGCATTCTTCAACTACAACATTACCTCTAAACACACTGTATTAGGAATGTCTGGAAACCATGAAGGAAGAAGGACAGAAGTAACAGATAATGATTTCCAGATGAAAAGTTATGATATCCATTCCTATCTGCCACTTCTCTGCTGCATAATTCATTTTCTTCCTGCAGTGAAATGTGGCACTGCATCCTCTCACTATACTGAAGCATTGATATGATTTTTTTTCAAATGTCTTTACTTTTCCGTTTTTTGCCATCTAATTAAGAGCTCTGTATTCATAAAGGCTTTCATTTCAGAAAATTATCAACTGTGCATAAACTGAAATAATTCTTTCTAAAGATGTACAAATGTATGCTGACCATTAAGTTAAAAGAAAACTTACCGGTTCTGATTACTAAAAGATGACTGATCAATGGGCAATATGCTGTCTGGCCATGGAGCAGTCTGATTGGGAGGAGCCTGTGGCTGGTTATATTGGGGAGCTCCCATGGTCATCTCTAGTTCAGAAGCTCCTGAGGGTGGGAAAGCAATGGTTAATAAAATCTTGCTAGATTCAACAACTGACTACTAGTCTTGGAAGGTCTGGTCTGGGCCCACTATGTGCCATTCAGATAACACACTGTATAAATGCCAAAGGAAATAGGGACTTACTCCTATGTGCTAGTGAAGTAATAAAATAAAACTCCTTGCACAGATTCTGTCTGTTGCATTCTCAAAGTCCTCTTTACTGAGCAGATCTACTGACAGTTGATTGCATCTGGATTATCATTATACCTATGCAAAACCAATTCAAAGGAGAATGTACTATGATTAGGACTAAGCTTACCCATATTCATAACCTGAGACTGAAGCATCTGCCTTGGACCAGGCTGACCACTAGGTCTCAAAGGAAGGTTAGATGTTGGGTTACGTATCATGCCTCCTTGGATTGGCCTGTTCATGGCACTTGTTGTTGCAGCGCAGGTCACCCTCACAGCAGCAGCTTGGGTTCCCCAGTCTCCTGATGGCATAGTAGGCCGAGGAGGATTATTACCAATCATCCCTATAAGGACAAATAACAAAAAAAAAACTCAGCTCTGATAGAGTGATAAATTGATGGTGAAATTGAAATAATCAGGTTATATGCAGAACTATTTTTTTTAGCTTGTGTCTGGTGAAAAATATTTTTTAATTTTCAAATTTGCATATTATATCAGGTGATATTTTCCCTTATCCAATACAGTGCTGCCCCGCTTGACGACAATAATCCGTTCCAGCAAAATCGCTGTACAGTGAAATCGTCGTCAAGCGGAAAAAAAACACCCATTGAAATGCATTGAAAACTGGTCAATGCGTTCCAATGGGGGAAATAACTGATCGTGCAGCGAAGATCCTCCATAGGGCGGCCATTTTGCGATGCCTGTAAAGCGAAGAATTGGTTCTGAAAACAGTGGGGAGCCATTTTGCGACCTGCCGATCAGCTGTTTCTAATCGTTGTCTAGCAAAGAGACGGTTCCTGAAGCAGGGAACTATTCATCGTCAAGCGAAAAAAGCCCATATAAACATTGTTTTGCGATCGCTATAGCGATCGCAAAAAAACCATTGTAAAGCGATTTCGTCAAGCGGGGTAACCGTCTAGCAAGGCACCACTGTATTTTCTTTGAATTATGGGTTGTTCAACTATGTACAACAAATTTGGCTCCTGAACTAGGGTTAGCAACAGTATTTAGGCGCCTATACTTAATTCTCCATAGGCAATTCCACAATATATACAATTTGGACAAAATATACAAATTGGCAGAGAAATAAGTTTTTCCAGGAAAAAAATCTACTAAACACATCCTCTTATAATCATATTGCTAACAGCAGTTCCTTTTCATTCCTTTGGAAATAACTGTTGCTATAATACTAAACATGTAAGCATTTATATAATAAATTTGTCAGATTTTGCATATGGCTTATTTAGGTAAATATCTTAAGAACTGTAATTCTACACAAAGTTACTACAAACTCACTGAGGTTTTTATTCAAGCAAAGATGTACAGAACTGGGACCATGGTTTCCTAAACCTCATCTACAGTGACTGTCCATATTTCGAAGTCTCTCTCAAGAAACAAAGAACATTTTTGACTCCAACCAAGTACCAGGTCATTAACATTATAAATGAAAGCAGTGTCTAAGTTATTTTTACCTGGGCTATTGTTCCCTAGGTTTCCTTGATTTCCCATCATGCCTTGACTGCCCATCATTCCAGGCTGAGGTATCACTGAATAAGGACTGTTGTTTCTTATGGGTGTAAAAGTTCCAGCACCTGATGGGCTTTGTAATGTGATATCAAGCTGCAAATTCTGGTTAGGTAACATCCTTCCCAACTGCGCTTGCCTTGCATTAGTAAAAGCTAAATAGAGGTAGAAAGGAGACAGGGAGAAGACATTTGAGAGGCCGGAAATTTAAGATTACGTATCCATACAGGTGTATAATCTAAAACTAAATGAATAATCATTGTTCTGACTACATTTCAAAACTACATACAGTATTGTTTGTGCACTTGAATGGTGTGTATGAAATAAAAAAGACACAAAGACAAATGGAAAAGAGGAGGACAGTATATTAGGTGAATGAAGAGGAGAATGTGTAGCTGCTTGTGCTTATGTGGTACACAGATATACACATGTGGACCTCAACCCCTCCATTACGTAGCATTTTCTGAATTCAAATACTTGCATTTTCTTGTGAAATGTTCCCTTTTCCCTTTGTACAACATAATGTAATTGCTAATTTTTGGTCAGTAACATGTAGCAATGTTATACATTTATTGATGTGAGCAAGGTACAATTATCTTAGCAAAAAGAGCATATTTTTAAACTGACAGTGAAAGGAGAGCAATATCTTGATTTAAGGCTACAGAATATCTGATTTAAAAATGCTGTTCCCAGGAACTAGAACAGCAGATGGTGCTATTTGGTCACTGGATATTTATTCTCATGCTTCACAACAGCCTGAAAGATTTACACTCTTTCAAAGGTTATATTTTTCTTTTCACAGTAATCTGCTATGTTTTCAGAATTCTCTAACAGCTCAGACTCACTGCTCTGTGAGATCCTCATTGTGGGTTTCTGGGCTCCAACAGGTGTACCAGGTCTGTTTTCACCTGTGATTTGCATGAGGTCATTGATGATGGCTTGTTTGTCAACTGATCCTGTTGAAGCACCTGGGAAATGTTGTGACAACTGGCTATTCTGCAGATCATCCAGAATTTCTTCCAAGTTGTCTAGTTCACTGCCAGGCTTAAAAATGAAATGGGGGGAAAAAGGAAACATGTTTTTTTTTGTTTAGTTTTGTTTGTTCTTTGCATATTGAAGACAAGTCTTCAAACTGTGGAAGTTCAGGGACCTAGAAACAAAATCAGCACACAATATTCACTATATCTTCCATCAGCAAGGGTGTGTGGTGTGTATCGCTGAAGCACAAGCTGATAGAAGAAAATGGACCTGGTTAAAAATCCAGCACAACATTCTATTCACATAGCAGTCAACTAGTTGCCCATGCCAAACCCACATGCAACATTTGAGTGCAATAGGACTTTCCTGCTCATGTTTTCCAGCAAGTTGTCTCTGATACTGGAGCTAGTCTATAGCTATTGATGGCCCTAATCTCCCTGAATTTTTCCTTCAATTTATTAAAGTCATCCAAGTTGACAGTCATCACTGTATCTTGTGGAAGTTAATTCCACAGTTTAACTCTGTGCTATGGTGAAGAAGTTATTTGCTTTCACCTGTCAGGAATCTTGCTCCCTTTAGCTAGAGCAAATTAAAAACACTGGCTACATGTACCCCCCCCCAAGCTTTCCTATCACTGCATTGGGGAAATACAAAATTAAACCATTAAAGCTCTTTCCTAAAAGCAAAGCTACAGTATTTGGTAATAGTCTCTCTCCACAACTCAGCCATGAATTGGTGCAGAGATATCTCCAAGGGCTGCAGAGGATGCATCTATCCATGCTTATAACAAAGAGTCTTTGTTAAGTAAAAATCAACACCCTGTCATTATTGTAATTTTGCTTGCTTGTAACTGGGCTAAAAACATTCTATAGAGTAGTTACTTCCACATTATTAAAATGCTTTATATTTTCCTGGGATTTTCAAAATTATTAGAAAAGCAGAGAATGCTTTTAAAAAGTAAAATAAAATAAAAATAGAAGGTACATGAAATAGTATCTATGCAGTCAGAATTTTAGTTTTAAGGAAGGTAAAACTCCCTTACTTAGATGACACTAATAATCTGATAAGAAGAGAAATGGACAAATGTATAAGGTATGGGGGAAACACCCTTCCACATTGAGGGAAATGTAGATCACTAAAATATTCTTTAAAAAAACTAATGCTAGCCAAGGGAAGGTGATTATCCTCCAAAGTGTAGGCAAGGTCTGACACAATCCTTTGTACTAAAAAATGCAGAGCAAGCAGATATGAACCAAGTGTGTTAACCAATCTGAACTACTCCATAGTCTTGCATTCAGCTTCTGGATATTTGTGGCAGTTAATCTGGGAATGCAGACTGAACTGGGTTAGCTAGATGTGTGTGTTTTTTATATATATACAAATACACTGAGGTTTCACAATCTGTGACAGGTTCTTCTTTGTTAAGCCTGCATTATATGTGCCATCTAGACAACACAAAAATCTCCCTAGTCAGTTGAAAGACATATCAGAGAATAGGGATTCAATCAATGCTGGATGGAATTGTACTCCCCATAAAATCTCAAGTTTGCAGGTTTTGGTGTACTCCTGGATTTATCTCTGAGTCTGGATGCTTAGGTCTCAAAAGTAGTTAGGAGTGCATTTCTACACATCTAAAGCTGGTGCACCAGTTGTGCCCATCCCTGAAGATATCTTAGTGTGATACATGCCTCAGTTAAATCCCAGCTAGATTACTACAATCAATTTATGCTGCCTCTGAAGACTGTTTGGAAATTTCAGCTAGTCCTAAGCAGTGCAGCCACACTGCTGATCAAGGCCAACTACAAGGAAGATGTTAACAGCTGCACTGGCTACTGGTCCACTTCCAGCCACAATTCAAAATATGCTGGTTACAATTTATAAAGCTCCATATCACCATGTTCCAAGCTATCTGAAAGACCTATCTTCCTATAAAAGCCTGCCTTGGGTTTCAGATCTGTCAGAAAAGCTTTTCTTACTGTCCCACCACTTTCAGAGGCTCATTGGGTAGGAACCAGAGATACGGCCTTCTTAATGGGTACATCTAGGATCCAAAACTCCTTGTCAAGAGAAGCCAATGAATGAAGTCCATGTACAACATTTCTCATACACATATTTGCCAAAACATAGATAATGGGTTACTACAAACCAGTCTCTATTGCACAGCTTCATAGCTTGCCCAGTCTGAATTCCCCTTTGCTATCCACACACAAACATACATTCTTTCAAGTACTTTGTGGACATGGATTAAAAATTAAAACACAAGCAGTTTTCAAGCCTTAGGAAATAACACACCAGACTGCTTCCCAGCCACAGGTAAGAGAAGATCTAGGCAATATGAATATTATTACCTCCTACAACAGTGGCAGGGAACTTGTGGCCCTCCAAATTTTATGGTCAACTTCCATTAAACCTGGCCATGATAATTGGTGTTAATGGGTACCAGAGTCCAACAATACCTGAAGGGCTGTATACCCTACTCCTTTTCTGCACCAAAACTAACTACATGCACATATATAAACAAGTGCTTCTGGATAACAATTATAGGAAGAAGAAAAAACCACAGTAAGCAGCTGTCAAAAAATATATCAAAGATGATCAAAGATGTTCCTGAAACAGCAGTGACACAATTTTGTCAAGTGGAAAGATGACTATTGAAAAGTTACCTTGAACAAAGCCATTTTGGTATTGTGCATGCTTCAAATTATTTCCTGTCCAGAGAATGTTACTAGCTGAAATGGAAATCTTACATTTTTCTCGTAAAACTTCTATTAACCAAATATTGACTCCATGAAGGAATTGCTATATTTGCAGGGAAAACTACTCACCAAAATTAGTTTAAACAAATACCACTTGAGCAGAGAACCTTAAGCAATTCTATTCAGTTAAGTAAGTGCTGAAAGCCTTTTGTTTTAGATGGAAAGAGACAATGAGAAGACTCAGAGGAATGCAAAATGATTTGGAGAATCCTCTGTTCTCACATTATAGTAAAGCTTTAAACTATATTTAATTTGCATTTCCTGTAGGAAGTGTGTTTATTGTGTATCAACCATGGTTCTCCCACTTTCTCACTTTCAAATGATTTTCTATGACATTGCTCTGAAGAATCCACATAGTTTTATCCATTTCTCTACATTTCATATGAACCAATGAGTTGACATCTATTTATCGGGGTATTTTTCAAAAGAATTCTTTCCCTGCTTGCTTTAGATACTGTGACTTTCAAAGTTACCTTTTACATCCCCCCAATAATCGTAACAAGCACCAAACCAGAATGTAACAAAGTGGTAAATATCTAATCAGACTTTCCAGCCACACCAAGTTTGGTAACATTAATACAGTAATAAAGTATACTCTTTTTACACACACAAAACAAAAACTGTATAAGGAAAAGATGGCAAAGATACTAAAGCACTACTTACAAATTTGCCTAGCAAACAATAAAGACTTATCTTACCTGTTCATTCGGCTCAAAGCGCATCTCTTCTTTCTCTGTCTTCATAGCTACTTGCTTTGTGCTACTGGAAGGGTCTGTCTTACTGTCCGACCGCTCCAGTTTGGGAGTAATGTCTGCCAAACCTATGTCTTTAGTATCATCTTTATCTAGCAAGTAGCGAAGTAGTGCATTTTCTTTCTTCTTGGGACTCACTGGTTCCTGTTTAACAGTCACCTCTGAACCAGGAGCTGTGCTATTAGTCTCCTGGCTCAGCTCTTTGCCCGTGGCCTCTGCTGTGAGCTTGGCCAAGTCTACAGGAGAACTACTGTCCTGTAAGAGCCTGTGCAAAATTTTATGCTTCTCCTTGAGCGAGGTTCCATGTGCTGAACCAGACCCAGATAAGCCTCCCACGGAGTCCTTGTTAACATCTCCCATTGTATTAGAAATAGCCGAAGGCTCCATTTGATCTGATTTGGTGGTCAGCAACTGTAAGAGCTTTGTCTGGCTTTTGCCATCATGCAGTCTGTTCTGCCCATCAGGCCTCTCACCACTGACAACTTGGGGTATGCTGTCATTATTGTCCTTCTGTTCTCCTGAATGGCAGATGCTCTCTGTTTGTCCAGTTGTACCTTCCGACTGCTCCCCGTGAAGTCCAAAGCCATCTTTAGAGTCCAGGCTTCCCAATTTGCTCAGTTGGGGAGGATTCATGCTTACCGGGGAATTCTGTAAATTTCCCATTTTCACATCAGGTGAAGCCAATGATGAACCTAGAACAACTCCATGCCCCTCACTGAGAGCCTGAAGTGCATTGAGGGAACTGTTGGTATAACTATGGCTATTTCCTGTGCTGCTGCAGACTCCAACAGGTGAATGCAAGCTTCCTGCAGGGGAGAACTGACTGGGTGGGATCCGAGGACTGCTTGCCACTCCAGGACTCACACGATGCCTTGGGGAAAGCATAGAGTTTGGCTGACCTGGTGTCATGCCAGGGCTGTTTTGAGAGGGACTATTCATTTTTAGTGCATAGTTACTACCCTGAGGAGTGGATGCTTGTATACTTGACACATGGTTCATCCCGCCTGAACCACCAAACCTGCTCGCTGGCATGGCCATTTGTTCCTTTGGGCCATTTATGGCAAAATTCATATTGCTACTAATGGTCATATCCTGACCTGGATTACCACTGCACATGGTCTGATGGGCAGGGCTGCTGGAGCTAATTGGGTTCAGTGGCTTTCCCATTGCTTGTCCAGTTAAATCCTGGTTCATTCCACAGACATTCTGTTCTCTAGAACATTAAAAACCAAAGACAAAATATTAGATAGAAATGCATATTTAGTTTTCACAATCCCAGTATTTAAAGTTACTGTTACTATGATTCTTATCCCAACTAGAGATGGGAGCTTCGCATTCATCTCCCTGGGGCAAAGCACTATATTTTATTTTGGGTTTTAACTGGGAATACAGATTTACTGTAACAGTAAAATAATTTTACACAGCACTGCACAATACGAGATTTTTGTTACAAAACTCCTGTAAAACTTTGGCATGGGTTTTGAGAAGGTCATACATGTACAGGCTCATAAATAAGAAAACCCCTTCCCAGAGATTTTCAATCATATGTCCTGTAAGTCTCAAGGCAAAGCTTCTCTTCTTGGATCTCTAGAATAAAACTACTCATGTGAAATTTAAGACACTGTCAGGTAACATTTATTTAGTTTGTCTTACAAGGACCACTAGACACAAGCAGCTGTGGCAGAAGATGGAGTGCCATCATCTTATATAATTAGGTATGAACAAGGAAAAGGCCGTATAGTCTCCAAGATTTTACAGATGTAAGAGTGTGTGCAATTTTATTGAACCACTAAAAATCAAACAAATTGCAAGCTTTTGTGGAGAAAATCCAACTTCTTCAAATTTAGCACAAATCCTTCATGGATAGTACAGAAAGCTTGTACACAAGAGTCTAAAAACTGGTGGTAGATGTCTGTGAGAGTTGATGTCTGTCCTCTGGAGGCTACGATTAAGCCTCTTTGTGGCATGATTTGGGATTTTTACACCTGTCTCAGGACCAAAGGTTGCCAATTACTCTGTGATTGGCCCTCACAGTCACTTACATTGCTTGCTTTGAAACTACAGTTTCTTTTTGGCTATGGGGGTCAGGTAGGTACCTTATTTTGGACTGCCTTGTCATAGGTAGTCCAAGGTATTAAATAATTCAGTAGTGGTTCATTTTTGCCTTATTCTGCACAGTAGTAATGTTTAATGTCAGTGCCATTGTTTATGAAAATCCTCTAACAATAGCACTTTCCATCACTGCTGCCGCCTAGCGGTTGTCACTTGGGATTTCTTCTTCCCCATCAACATTGAAACTACAGTATCATTTTTCTTATGCTGATGTGACCATTTGTTCCTGAAGCAGATGGATGCATCTTAATCTGATGTCTCAGCTCTCACCATTCTGCCTTGGGAAACACTGCCAAGAACCTAGACTTGTAGCCAAGTCTTAACTCCCCGATAGGATTTTTCTCAACTTCCTGCCATGCTCAAAACCCATCACCACATTATGGTATGCATCTGTAAGTGGGGCTGAAGGCAGCACAAAAAAAGGAGAATGAAGATGGATTGATTCAGTAAAGGAGCCCATAGTTTTTAGTTTTCAAAATCTAAACAGGTTTGTTAATGATATTTGTTGTTAGAGATCACTAATTCATAAGGTCCAAAGTAACTGGACAGTACATAAGAGCAACAGATATCTGGTTAGATATATGCAGCATCAAGAAGAGATATCAAGCTCCAAGCAAACAAGTTCCAGAAACACTGGGCAAAAGAAATCATAAATTAATTCATTGGTTCCGTCAGAAGGAATAAGGTACATGGGTCTCTCCCTACGTGTCGCAGTAATGATGACCTTATTTATATTTTTCTACAGTGGTGCCTCGCACAGCGAGGTTAATCTGTTCCGGATTAACCCTCGCTGTGTGAAACATCGCTCAACGGAAAGTAAAAAGCCATTGGAACGCATTAAACAGCGTTTAATGCGTTCCAATTCGGCCGAATCCTCACCGTTGTGCGATGTTCCTGGATGGCCGGCAGCCATTTTCGCACCCTCCCCTCGCTGAACGAGGGCGCGAAAATGCTGCGCGCTGCCATTTTGGGGTGCGCAGCGGCCATTTTGGACCCGCCTAACAGCTGATGGGCGGGGCGCAAAGCGAAGGTCGGTAAGCGAACCGCTTACCGACCTTCGCTCTGTGATTTTCCCCCTATCTAGGTGCCGTTTTGTGATCGCATTTGCGGTTGCAAAAACGGCATCGTTGCGCGGATTCGTCGCTCTACGGAGCGACCGTTGCGCAAGGCACCACTGTACTTCCATAAGCCATGCAAATATTCTGTCCATCCCCTTGACAGCCTCCATGCCCCTGTTCATGTGCTTTTCATACTATAGCACATATTTAACCAGCTAGCATTATAGGTTTTCTCCTGTTTTCCTTGGGTCATCCATTGCACATAGAATAGCATGTTTTTTTACTGCAAAGAACCAAACATGGTTGAAATATACCAATAATGTAGACAACTTTGGCAACTACATTACTGTTTGAGGAAGAAAGTAATATCTCCAAAAGAAAATGACATTTCTTCAGGGAAGATGTATGCAAAAATATTTTTGAAGACTATCCAAATTTAATTCTCTTGGAAAAATTACTTGAGCACACTAGGTTTTTAATCTACTAGAAAGTTACACTTATAAACATCTGTAATTAGTTTCTTTCTTAAGCCTTTAATATAGGGACTACCAGTTATTTTCCTGTCTTCATAAAGAAATCAGAACCTTCCAAAATTGAAAACTCAATGAAAAGCACTTTAAAATATATATTTAATAATATTTTTGGCACTGGCTTAGACATTCCTTTGTAATATTCGAACTGTAGTTTCTGCAGCTGAATCATTCAAACTTTGTCTGGTTAGTGGCATGAGAACCAATCAACAAGCTAAAAAGAAAATGTGGTGCTCAGTCATTTCTTGTTACTAGAAAGAGATGAGTGAAGTCAGAGGGGAAATTATATCAAATACACACACAGAGACCAAAATTTCACACAATATCCTGTTTCTCAAGCTAGTAAAAACATTTTTCTCTTGCATATATGTGACTTATAGCCTGACATTTCTTATTTCTGGTGACTCAGCTGCTGCTCCATGAAATATCAAAAGGATCTCCTAATTCTATAAAAACAGTTTTATGTAGTCAAACAGCACCTTTTAGTTAGGTGTATATAGCATGCTACACTATTATTTTAGTCTTTTTAAATGAAATTATCAGAAAATAAACATTCATTAAAACCTATGCCTTGTGACACAATTACATCTAATGGCACAATATTTTTCATCTTAATTCAAGGAATACAGCTAATTCTTGAGAATCCAGTCTATCTGTCTATATTCTCTGTGGCCAAAATCCAATAGAACAAAAAGTGCTTCTGTGAACCAGTCACACACTTACATTGTTTCTTGAGTTTACAATTGCATGTGTAGTCACACAACTAAACATGTGACTGATCATACAATCTGGCAAACAACTGATACTTGATGGAAGGAAGGGCTGGGAAATAGGTAACTTTCCCTCCCTAACTGCATAAATGTGATTATGCAGAGTACTGAGATTCTGGCCAATATACCACTACTTTCTATATAAAGAATTCTTCTTTGGAAAGAGTAAAGGTATTTTTAAGAAGCATCTCCACTGTGATTCTTGGGATGCACACATGTGCATATGTGTGAACTCACCATGTGAGTCTCCCCCCCCCCCCAACCAAGAATCACAGGAGCTATAATATCATTTACTGGGGAGGAACCAAAAGTTACAATTTGTCTTATGCTATGCAACAAGATTTTGCCCAGCACCCTGCAAAACTGTATCGTAAGTATATCAGAGCAAACTATTCCACACCTCCTCAATACATGTATTTCCTCACCCCACCACAAGTTTTAGGAATGAGGCTTGAGCTGAGGATTCAACTGTTTAGACAGTGATTTTAGAGCCTGTACATGAGAAGAGACTTGCAGCAGGTAAAATGTGCTACAAGATCCTTGCAAAACATATGCATTAACATTAAACACATGTCCTAATATTGATTTAGATTTCCAAATTTAAAACAAAACTAAAGAGACTTTAAGCACTAAGATGTGTTCATTTCATTCAAATAACTGTGATTCACTTCCCAAATGAGCATTTAGGACCAAGACATGGATATTGATTCAGAAAATTAAAAAAAAGTTTAAATTGGACTGATACTTCATATTATTGTCACATTACAGCCAGTATAGCTAAACTGGTTATCAGCTTAAAGCAATACAAGATTAGGCTAGTTGTGTCCATTTTCTGCTGTTGGCCCTTGAAAGTGCAAGTGAAGACTTAAAATCAAAAATACTCTTCTAAGTTACCTGTGAAGCATATGCAAAGATATTACAAGCTGAGGTTCACTAGTAGTCTGAGAACGGATGAGTTTGCTCTTCGTTTGGGCAGCAACTATAGTGCCATCAGATAAAGAAAATCGATAGACAGGACTGAATGCCAGTCCCTGTCTAAGCACTGTAAGAAAGCAAAAACAAAAAACAAGTAAGAAACCCAGACTCCTGTAGGATTACTCCCACACAAATATGGAGTCTGTCTATTAACACAGCTTTCTTTAGAAAGGAAGAAAAACCTGTACCTCCTTTTGCAAGGTCAGCAATCCTGTGTTACAGGAAAAGCTAATGTTTTGCAGCTGAAGACCAAAGTGCAAACACAGTAAAGTATTAACTGAGTTAAAGATGATGTCAACAGACTGTGCACTTACCTGTGAATTTTCTTTCAACAGTCTCTCTGGTTAGCAATTTTGAATTACTTTTGAGGCAGGAATTAATTCCTACTCACCCACCCCAACAACAGAAGACAGTGGCTCAGAATTAAACTTAGCTACCGTGGGGACAAAATGTGATAGGCTTCTTTGTAGTCTCCAAACATTACCACAGCCTGTTCCAATTCATTTTGATTTAGAAAAAACAGGGATGAAAGGATGTCGGAGATGAAAACAACTAAAAGCAGACCTTAGAATGATGCAATTTACATAATGGCATCCCTAGGGATGGCATACGCTTCCTAAACATATACCAACTTGAACATAACATGAGCAGGTAAAGGTGAACACTTTACTTATGTTTTCATCAGGTATTCCTGTACCTGGGTAAATATGATGGCTATATACAGTGGGGTCTCGACTTACGAACGGTTCTCCATACGAACTTTTCGACTTACGAACCCGCCCAATAGGAAATTACATGCTCGAACTTCCCTCGAGTTACGAAAAGGAAAAAAGTGTCCCCTCCCTCCCTTTAGAGGCTTCTGGAGGGGGAAAAAGGTCAGAAACTTAAAAATAAATAAAAGAAAGTCACGTACCAGGCCTTGGTAGCCCCCCGAATTGCAGGAAAAAGAGCAGCAAACAGATAAAAGCCGACACCCATGTGGTGCTTTTCTCTGCTCCTGCCCCCTCCTCTCCCCGCCTAACAGCTGATCGGCTGGCTCTGAAGAGGCTTGGGGAGGCTTGCTCAGCACCTAAAAAGCCTGCTTGTGTCTTTGTGCTGAAAAAATCAGCACAACATGCTTTAAAATTGGCTTCGTTGAAAAAAAAGATTTCAAAAGTGCTTTTAAAACTGTTCCCTGCCTTTCCTGAACTTTTCTTGACCTAAGAAAAAAAATATCCCCCTCTAGTGGCAGAAGGCGGAATAGCAGCTTCCCATTAGTTTCCCATTAGTTTCTATAGACGGAAAAGAGATACGGATTAAATGGTTTTCAATGCATTCCTATGGGAAATGCAGATTCGACCTGCGAACATTGCGACCTATGAACCGCCTTCCAATACGGATTAAGTTCGTAAGTTGAGACCCCACTGTAAGTCAAAGATACTTATGATTAGTGATTCACAAATATATACTCCTTTTTCCTTCCATACACAATGTAGAAGACCCAAGGACTGTGCCTATGCCTAATAACTAATGAGTCTTTTCAAAATTAAGCTGCAACAGAGATTTGGATTTCTGTGACTTTCTCTCTGCTAGAAGTAGAAATTAACTGTGGGATGAGAGATAATGAGATATAAATGGTCCTTTATTCAAATCTCACAAGGCTTATGAACTCACTAGGCAGTCTTTGGAAGAATTCTAAGCCTCAGTCTACCACTCTGAAATTTCATTCTATCTGCACATACATAACTCAACAAGACCTGTGTCTATAAGCCAAGATCAGACTACTAAGAAGTAGGTACAGAGGGTACAACAGATACAAATTAGACACAGATTCAATGCTTCAGTTCTGTCACATCTTCAAATGGAAAACGTAAGTAACTAAAACTGATACTTTCTACTTTGTTTGTTGTGATGCTTCCTTTGCTATGAAACCTGTTAAACTTGCTTTAATTCCTGATTTTCCTGAACTGGCTTGAAACACATTTTTATTTGTTTACTGCAGTTATCCTATAAAAGTATCTTTTTGTCTCTCCCATCTCACCTGAAATTCTGAAAACATCCACCATATGTATTTCAAGAAATGCTAAACACAACACATTAAGAGCAAAAATCTAGTTAAGTTTTTATGATTTATCTTTGAAAATATCCTTGCTTCTCTGCTATATAAAAAACCCAGTTTTTATTGCTGACTTATGATGTGTTTGCAGTTTTCCTGTATCAATCATATAGTATAACATTCAGATGCTGACAAGGCTTGGCAACTTTTTTTTCTTCCTCCCGCAGACTTGCAACACTGGTATAGCAAGATATTCCCCCCCCCCCGCTCTTGCCTTCAAGTTGTCCATCCTGCTACTGCATTTTAATTTATTATACTGGCAGAAGGAAAACAGGAAACACACGTTAAACAACCAGAAGGGTTTATGTGCAGTAAGAATGTGAAGAAAAACAAAGTTTGTGTTCACTCTGGAATAATGTAAAGTAAAATTTCATACTGAAGGTATGTCATTGTTCCAGGCTAACCTTTGGGCAGAACTCTCAGCAGTAACAGCCCTTTTAGCGCAGAGCAGGAAATTCCAACACTCCCTTGTCAACAGCACTGATGTTAAGATTGCTAAAGTTAATCCATTTCAAAACTAAAAGGGTTTCATGCCACAATCACAGGCTTTGGGGATTCTTAGTGGGTTTTTTTTTTTTTTTTAAAATGCTATTATAGCAGATTACATTTATTTAAAATTATTGTCTACCCAATTTTAAATTAAACATGCTTTCAGAAGCTTACACCAATAAAATAAAATGAACATTTAGATTTAGTTTTGTTTATTGTAATTTAATGTAACATCCCATGAAGAATTTTGGGTTTTGCCATGAAGCATACTATTTGCCATGCCTATGAACAGGAGCAGTCCTGCATGAGATTCTTGTTCCATGATCCATTTCAATCCAAGGGGGAAAACCCTTTATTTTTAATTCCCAGAACTGTACTTGCCAGTCCTCACATTTAGAACAGGAAGTCCAGCTTTTTCTGGCACTGTTCCAGGACTAACTTTCTATCTGCCATTTCTCCCTAGTAATGCTAAAGAACTAATGACTAGGTATGGTTTAGCCCTCAGTTAAACAGAATATAGCTGTAAAGCTGATGAGTTGACAGCTCAACAGCTCTGGAACACACAGTGATTTCATGGGTATGCCATAATGAAAAGGCAAAAATATACATTCTCCACAACTGATGACTGCAATATAGGGTCAAAATCCTGTTGGTCCACCTGCACAATGGGAATGATGCCATCACCAGCAGCAAACTGTTGCTGATTACAGCAGCCATTTGTTGCTGCTGCTATCATTCCCACTGCATAGTCAGAGTGGTGCAATAGGGATTTCAGCCAATATATGCTAAATTAGCTTTTTGGAGTATCTAGTACTTGTAGCAGAGAACACTGTAATTAAGTTAAAATGACCAGCCCAAAGGGTCCCTGTAAACATCATCATTTCTTTTCCTAACAACAGACCCTTCTTTATAGTGTGCCAAATGCAGCTTCCAAAGGTCCTCCAAACTTCTAGCACTATCTGTCAGCCAGTATGGGAAGAGCTAACCATCAAGAAAGGACACTTTAGTACATTCACAAAGTTCACAATGCAGCTCCATACCTTCTGATCTTATTATTTATTTTAATTCTATTCTACAAAATAGACACTGCTACATGACCAAATAGCTTTATGTTCTCACAAACTAGTGGGGAGTTCTAAGATGAATTTCATGAGAATTTTAATGTCTGGTCTACATTAAATACAAAATCAACACAACAAAGTTTGTTTCTTCTTTTTTAAAAAAATTAATTTATTTTTTGTTTAGCAGTGATCACATCTTACTTCAGAAAATCTGTTATATGGAAGTATGTACATCACACACAATTAACCCAAACTCTTCAACATGAAAACTCATGAAAATAATTTACTGTAGAAATAATGTCACTCATCTTAATTAAAGGTCCCTATAAACATACTTTCACTTTTCATATATCTTAGGGAAAAGGGTTCTATATCATCTTATTAACTTCTGCATGGCAGACATAGTGCTTTTGTATGAACTATATTGTACAAATAATTATCTTGTATCTTCGTCCTGTTTACATTCATGACCTTTAAGCAGGAGCACAAGATCCCAGTATCTTTCAGCTTGGCAAGTACACTACTTTACACTTAAAAATTGCATGTTGCTAGTCTACTGGTTATATGTGCACCAAAATATGGATGATACAACAAGTGCTTTTAGATCAATTCCTTTTTATACAGGTGAAGCAATACCACAACAAGACTTGCTACTTAATTTAAATATTTCTCACAAATACAGGATTCAGTGCTTCAACAATTACATAGGCTATTTAAGATGATGAGCATCGATTCGACCCTGCTTTCCTTTCTCCTTTTGCACTGTTTAATGTCATACAATGTGTTTGTAAATTATATCAATTCTCAAAAGAATCACATAGCCTAGTCTAATCTCCACCGACTTATAGTCAGTGGAGTTAATGGGACTTTCAAAGTCAGTAAGTTATTTAAAGAGTGGTTTTACCAGATCTGTCCCCTAGTGACTTTCCATGACTCAATGAGGATTTGAACCCAGGCCTCCTGTATCCTAGTCCCTCACTCTAACCACTACACCACAAGTAATACTTCCTTTCAATTCGTTTGCTAATTTATATGGAAGCTACTCTGTTTCTTCTACTATATTTTACTGACTTCTAATATTATTTTATCATTTTATTCTACAGTTGTACAGTTATTTCTGCTATTTTTATTGTTCATTGTTTATTTGGATATTTTTCAACAGATATTTTTTAAAAACAATCCTAATAAAAGCAAATATATTTGCTTATATGATGTGCTGAAGGCAGCATATGAATGCTAAAGTAAATAAAAGATGTATAAAATAGAGTATACATACAACCATTTCTGCTGCTGCACTGAACAGTGAAAACTCTTCCCTTCCAAGATTCCCATGTCTGTATTAAGAGCTCATGGGATTTCCTGAGTTATGACTTGTCAGTTCTTTCCTTTCCACCATAAACACCTCTTCTGAACTTTTTGGTCTGAAGAAACAGAGAATCCTTACCCTCTTGATGATGCCTCTTGGCATAAGACGTATCTCCTTCATGCTGTGCATAGAATCTCTGAATGCATCTTCTCACTACATCCTCCCAGCCAGGTTTCATAGCTGCTCGCATGGTACTAGTGTCCAGTGAAGTTATCTTGCCTGAGAATATTAAAGTCACCATTAATAAGACAATAACTAGGCTTTGATTTTTTTTTACAACAACATCATCAACAACAGCAACAGCAACAATGATTCCATTGCTGTAGAGCAGTACAGCAATGGAATCAATTATCTTGAGAGGTGGCAAGTGTGGCAACACTGAAGGCATTCAAGAGAAATTTAGACAACCAGCTGGCAGATATTCTTTAATTTGCATTCCTGCACTGAACAGGGGGTTGGACTCAATGGTCTTATAGGCTCCTTCCAACTTAATTATTCTATGATTCTATGAAATATTTAAAAATGTACTCTCACAGTACCTTGCAAATCCTGACGAGTGCTAAATGTCTCTGATGACGGCAGTAATGGCCTTTCCTTCATTGGAACTCTTCTTGCCACACAAATCAAGCAAGATTGCAGATCTGAAATGGAACAAAATTACTTACTGCAGAAAAGTGTGATAATAAGTGAATTATACAAAACAAATATGTGCTTTAAAAAAACTAGGCATGCCAGATTCTGGTTTTAATAATATCAGAACACTCCACTATCTATGAACTGAAAAAGATTTAAATTAATATAATATGAGAGAAAACAAAAATATAATTGTTGAAATGCTTTGCTATACTCCAGTCTTCTCACATGCCTTATCTGGCTCTACCTACTTCTGTTCCCATACAGATAAAAATGCAAATTTCTTCTCAAGCACACTGAATATGGTGGATAAAAATCAATGATTTTTTAAAAAAATCAAATTGATTTAAATCAAAACCACACTGTCACTGATATACCAGAATTGACACCTCAGTCCTCATTGTAATTTTACAAGTATAAAAGCATCAGGGTTCTATGGCTCTTTCTGTTGCATTTAATTTACCACTACATTTTTACAATTCAAACCTTTCTCTGGGTTCTCTGAACCACAGTTTACCTACCTGTAATTGTGGTTCTTCGAGTGGACTCCGTGATTCACAGTCTGGGTGATCCGCGCATGTGTGGAGTATCGTCAGAATATTCTAGAGCTTCTGCGGTAGAAAAAGATACATTAGTGCAGCCCCCTCCCCCCTGATATATGTACTTTGGCGCCAAGGCTCTCTCTTCAGTTAAGCTAACTGCCGTGTAAAAGGAAGGGCATGACACTGGGAAGCCTAGGTCGGGATGTGTGAATCACAGAGGTCCACTCGAAGAACCACAATTACAGGTAAGTAACCCACCATTCTTCTTTGTGGCCTCTGTGAATCACACTCTGGGTGACTAAAATACTACCTTACCCAGAGGAGGGTGTCACGTCAAGGTAGATGAGTGTACAGCACATCTGACGAATGGCCAATCAATAGTGACTGATAAACGTAGACATCTATGATCATGTGGCAGAGACACAAATGTCAGTGAGGGGGATCCCTTGGAGAAATGCTGTGGATGTCACGAATGCCCTGGTGGAATGAGGGTGGATAGTTTGTGGCACTGGACAGTGGGCGAGCTGGTAAGCAAGCTGGATATGTAGCAGACGCAACCCACTTGGATATTCACTGCAAAGTAACTTGGAGGCCCTTCGAAGGAAGCTGATAGCTGACAAAGAGTCTAGCTGAGCGCCTGAAAGATTGAGTGCAGGCTATATAGAAAGCCAGAGCCCGTCTAACATCCAAGGTATGAAGAATCTGTTCTTGAGGATTAGATGGAGATGAAGGGCAGAAGAACCAAAAACTGGGACAGGTGAAACTGGGAGACAACCTTGGGAAGGAAAGAAATATCTACAAAGAGTTTATCAGGGTAAAAGATAAGGGAGATAAGGGTAGTCAGACTGTAGGGGTGCTAGCTTGCTAGTGTGTTGTGCTGATGTGATAGCTATGAGGAAAGCTGTCTTTAAGGTACAGTGGGGTCTTGACTTGAGAACTTAATCCGTATTGGAAGGCGGTTCTCAAGTCAAAAAGACTGTAAGTCAAGTCTCCAATGACCTACAGTGCATTCAAAACCGATTAATCCCGTAACAGGCCGTTTTTGTTCCATTTTGTTTTTTTTCTGGTCTGTAAGTCAAATCTCAGTCTGCAAGTCAAACCTAAATTTTGCGGCCAGAGAAGTCTGTAACTCAAAAAGTCTGTAAGTCAAGCCGTCTGTAAGTCAAGACCCCACTGTAAGTAGTTGAAGGTCAGTCGATGCATGGGGCTCAAACGGGGCCCCTGTAAGGTGTCGAAGGACTAGGATCAATGACTACTGAGGTGATGGAGGACATATATCAGGGTATATACGTAACAGTTCTTTGAGAAAACTTTTGAGAGTACGATGTCTGAATTTTTTGTATTTAATTTTTTTTATTTTTTGCTGCCAGAGAGGTTGGTGGTTGATGCGTCACAATTGCTGAGAGGTAAACTTTAAGCGATGAAAGAGAAAGACCTGCAGTTTTTAAGTGTAAGAGAAAATGAAGAACAGTGGTGAGGGAAGGTTTGATTGGGGATAGCAATGACAAGGAAATGAATGATTGGTTCCCCCCCCTCCCCATTTATACATATAGGCCTTTTTGGTCGAGGGTTTCTTTGCCTGACGAAGGATATTCATCAGGAAGGCAAAATCCTCCATGCTGCAAGATGAAGGGCAGGGAGATCTGGGTGAAGAATCTGGTTCTTGTTTTGTATGAGCAGGTGAGGAAGATGGGGCAGGTGGTACATTTTGGAAGACAGCTGGTGATGAATTGGAAACCATGGCTGTCATGGCCACTATGGTGCTATTAGGATGATGTTGGGCCTGTCCTGCTGGAGTCGCATGACAACCTCGTGGAGAAGTGGAAATGGTGGAAAGAAGTACAGTGGTACCTCGCTAGACAATTGCCTCGCAAAATGAGGAATTCGCTAGACGATGACTTTTTTTGAGCGATGTTGTGCTTCACAAAATGATTGCTCCTATGGGCAATTTTCACTGGACGATGTTTGGGTCCTTGCCTCCTTGCCTCGCAAAACAGGTTTTTTTTTTGACCCTGTTTTACAAGACGGTTTCCCCCCCAATTGGAAGACATTAATTACATAAGACCTACATTTTATCCGAAAAAAGTGGGGGAGAAAGTGTATGCTGCTGTTTTTCCTGGAAAGCCAGCAACATACACTTTCTCCCCCACTTTTTGGGATAAAAAAG